ACCACTTAGATTACCCGACAAAGGTTCCCATTTGGCATTTCTTGTGGATGGAGTAAATACTCAACATTATAAACATCAATCAAAGGATTTACCGATAACACGCTGATTGATTAACTACTTTTATCTTGTACAGCGGATTTGTCAAAAGGTAGTGTTTATGTATGTAGATTTACTAATCTATACTGAAAACACTTTGTCGTGTCTGTGTCTGCGTAAAACAACGTCCTTCTTTCAAAGGATTAACCGCCAATACATTGATTGATCATTATTGGCAAACTAAATTACTTTTTTAAAGAATGGCGGACATTATGCAATTAGTTACAAAATCAAAAGTACTTTCTACTGGTAGTAAATTATGTATTGGATTGATGGCCGATAGGATTTTGCATGACATAGCTGTATAACATAACAATGTGTGTGTGTGTGTGTGTGTGTGTGTGTGTGTGAATGTAACACTACTTACAATATTATTGTTACTTCGACCACAACCTCGCTTCCGAGGAAGATATCGTTATGTTACAAGTTGTGTCATGGAATATCTTTATGGTCATTATCATATACATATTTTACTACAACTAGTAAGTAGTTTTGATTCTTTAACTTCCGTGAGGCGATCAGAACACAAGTATGATATCGTTTCAGGCTTCCACAACGCTCGCTTCGCACTCACAAACATAACCCATTTAGCACGGTGCATGGTGACACCATCAGCCGACCCCCTAGGAGCAATTGACGACAACGCAACGATTCGGCATGTCTTCGTTGGTGTCGAGATATCATCAAAATGACGAGCTTGCTACACACTTTATATTCACCTAACTGAAAATCGTTCCTCATATGACCTCACTGCAGTGCTCTGGCGACAGAGTTACGTAACCTATCTGTGGTTTCGTTGGCGGGCGAGAGTGAAGCAGGCAACCTTTTGGCAACTTTTAATCGCTCGGTATTAATTAACCACAAGTTTTTTAAGAACGAATTTGGTGGGGTTCCGCATAAGACTAACCACAAATGTTTCATATGTAATAGTTTAAAGAATACAAAAAACAAAGTTTATTTGTTCTTTAACGTGCATGCCAACCGAAATTACGAACAGGGGTTTTGAATCGATTCAGGGACAAAGAATGTGACACATGCTGTACAAAACTTTTCACGCGAAACATTAGGGGCCTCTCACTGTAGCAATCATCAAAACGTACAGTACACAATCTTTTCGCTTTACAAAGGGTGCAGCCCAAGGCGTCACCATCTGTAGAATGCCACTGATGTTATCGTATGAAATCGGCACCCCAGTGAAGATTAGCTATAAACATGATAAAACAGTTCTGTACTAGTTAGGCTTTATTCATTGTTAACATTGTCTCAAACTTTTTCACCGTACTTGAACACAGCTTTTGCATTCTAATTTCAGGATGATATATTGAATATATTTTCAACTATATTTCAAGTATATCTTAGCAAAGCATATTTATCACTTGATATGGCCTGTTGATTTTACCTGCTTGTCTTCTCTCATACAACACCTGGTCATGCATCTTAAATACAGTTGTCAGTTTGACATTGAGTTACATTGAGTAATTACTTAAAATTCTTATGTATGTGATATTTTCACATATGCCTATATCTCCTGATGACAGGTAGAGTAGGCAGGTAAATTGGAACAGACCCCATTTATTATTTTCAATGTTTTAAGGTAATTGGCATTTCACAAGTAAATTTTCATGTGAACCTGTGGGTTAACTTTCATTTGCTTCTTGCTTTTAAATAGCAAGTTAGCATCATTATATACATGTTTGCAGAGTTGCTTATGTTTGACAATAACACCTTTGCTCCCTTCATTGTTGAATTCAAGTTAACCAAGAATGCTAAAATTGACTTTTTCCCTTTAATGCATAATATTACATCTCCCTACAGGTGCCTGTTGTCCACAAAGATGAGGCCCAGGTGATTCCAGAATACACATGCTACAGGTTAGTGTTTGTTTACTTTTGGTATGAATTTGTCTGAATAATGTCTGGTGTACTTGTTGAACACACTTCTTTGTATGAAACAAAAAATTAACGAGGAGAGTTACTTGCTTGATAACGGTGTTAGTAGCTACACCACAATGTCGCTCTTATTATATTAAAAAAGTTGTATATCCATAGAACTCTCCTTGTTGTTCATCACACCAACTTCTAAATGCCACTAAGAGGAGGAACAAATGTCAGCATATTTAAATTATGCTTCTCCACAGTTGAAACATTTGTTAAGAATAATGTTTTCCACCTTTGACCTATCGGAATGAATATGTTCATTATGTGACATGTCTTTCTCTACAATAGTAACTTAAATCTGATAATCATACATTTTCTCATAACTGGCAGTCATGAGATAATATTACCCTGTATCAGTTTGGATAGTAATACTCCACTGATGTTTTCCAGGAGGAACACGTCTAAGGCAACGGAGAGAAACAGATGTTGTATGACCAATTCTTTCCCTGGACTGTATCAGCTGACCCACTAAATGCTGGTGGATACATGTGATGTTGAATGTAACACCAGTGAGGTCGCTGGGGAGGAAACAATCACCCATGATGATTTTGATGGCAAGAATATTGAGCCAAACATTTTCTCTCCAGACTGGGCACAGGCCAAATATGAAAGTAACTGTATATCAACACAGCGACAAACATGCAGTGCTTCCAGTACTAACTATTATGCTTAGTGCTGCAGCAATTTTCATTTACACAGGACTGTCAAAATATTCAGACTTCACTGTTGTACTTCCATTTTGGGTGCATATGCATGTCACCTAAATTATCTGTACAGCAATATTGACAGTATGATTGTCAGTGTGGAAAACATCAACATGCATCTGATGTAAGTCTTAATCAATGTTCTTCAAGGGAGACCATCATTTTTTACTGAATGTATGTCTATATTTATGAATGTCCATACATGCAGAATTTAATATGTTGAACAATAAAATCTGAAATGACAACCCAGACTTTGTTGACATTTGTCTGCTGATAATTGAGACATGAGAATAATCGTAAGTATTGTAGAATCTCAATTGTACCATTAAGACTACCATTCCAAAGCCAAATTATTCCTTGTTTCAGTATTTCAAATACACACTGTGGGTTATGGGGTCAGTTCATTCTTGCTTTAAGGGTAGTCAGGCTATTCCATTTTAGTATTATTGTTATACTGTCTTGATCAAAGGACTGAAGCCTGGTTTATTGTCTTGGTTGGTGATTTTGAACATCTAGGTCACCAGCCATCTTAACACCTCGCAGCACTGGTTAATATTATTACTTAATAAACTAAGTATATTGTCTGAAATACATTAATCTTATTGCTTGCATTAAATACCTTAAACAATTTAATGTGTGATTTTGTAAACAGTTAGGGTTGATGAGCATGAATGCTATGAATGGGTTCACGGATGAATGTGTTAGATCACAATGGTTGTGTACTATTGAAATCTAAATCTATATCTGTATGTTTATTATCTCTTGCAAACATGTAGGAAATGTAATATAGAAAAGCTGCATGTTGTCTGCATTGCGCATTTATCATCAACAATGTTCTATATATATCAATGTTATTTATTGTTTAGGCTACAGCTTACGAATACTGCATATTCTAAGGGTCTTCAACCACATATGCCTAATGCTACGCTCCCGTGCCACCCACAGGAAACAGGAAACTGTCTACAACGGGGCAACATATCGGAAGCAAGAGTGGTCGATGACTCGCGGGTAGAAACAGGCAGGTATATTTAAGAAGCTAGAAATATGAATATCAATTCTTGCTTACTTGTAATAAATATCAAGCATTGCGGCAACTGTATATCCCTTTACACTTGTATGAATATCCAACAATCCAGAAATTTAATACGCTTCTGCAATCATCAAATGCAAGCATCTTAAAACATTTATCCGCATTTATCTTCATTATAACATACTTTCTCTCACTCTGTAATCTTCAATATGCAACCTGGGCCTGTGGCCTATATTACTTTTCTGAAATATACCACCATTATATACATACAACGTAACACGTTATAATTGGAATCCCGGATGGGACTCACCCAAGCACAAGTACTAGAATCAGTACTTTACTGAGAAACTGTAATTATGAAAATATAACATGTGTTACATTTGACCACTTTCTAAATGACAGTTCAGTATTGGAGGTTACGTACATGACTAGTTCTTTCAACGATATTCTTCATGGTCTGTCCTGTCCTTGTCAACAGACTCTAGAACATGAAGGTGTTGCATGGTTATGGTTCTTTTTGTATATATGGGTTCCGCCAATCCGCTTCAATACTTACATAGGTTTAGTACCCGAGAAGATGCGGGTTAGAATTGGTCTTCAACAACCCATGATGGCGCTTTCGCTCGTTTGATACCAAATCATTAACTCATTTAATAAAAAAGGAATTAAGAAACCCAAATTCGGTGATGCAGCTTATTGATTATCAAAGTGCCACATGGACAACAATTCTTGTGTTGAGACCAGTTACTTGCAAAACCGTACGCGAACGGTTGAAGGTTAGCAACACATCATTCTGCGACTCCCATATGTGTTTAACGAGAGCGTCACGCAGGCATAACATCGGAGTTCAGGTTTCTTTCGCCAGCACCTGTAGGGGTCTACAGGCGTCCAAGAGAAGTTGGAAGCTTTCAGTGTTGCTTGCTTTACTCAACGCCATCCTTTTGGAATGCAAGTGTAATTGGATGGGAGAACAGAACTCATCATTGTTAATGGCAATTTGAATGACGTACGCTATCGGGACGATATCAGTCAAAATCAGGTTCGACTCTGTGTTCAAATGCAAACGACTCCCCTAAAATAATGTCCTTCATGTTAAGGAATGCTTGTTTTAATACTTCATTGCATCAAATAACGAACTACATATAATGTACACTTTTAAAAAACAGAATATATAATCATGGTTATATATATCAAGATATTTAACATTTTATGTTGTGCATATTTTTGTGATCCCTATTTTGTATTTTCGATAATGTCCGCTGCCTTCTCTCCTATCATGATGCTCGGTGCGTTTGTGTTTCCTGACACGACGGCCGGCATGATGGAGGCGTCCACAACTCTCAGCCCGACAATACCTTTTACTCTGTAAAATATAACATTTAAACACATATTCACATTGATGTTACAAGATTCGGCTGAGACATGTCACAGGAACAACCAGACATTAGACATTTGGGAACAAACTATTTCCTTCGTCAACGAAGTTGTCGCCTACATTACAAGTTCAGGTGGGTTAATCAGTGCATATAGAAATTGGCTATTTGATGGTTGTTGAATGATATTTGATATCGATTCACATGTATAAAGAAACAGATCCGAAAGGAAGGGGAGCACACTTGGTGCCCATGGAGATGCCTACTTGCTATCTAAATGTTTTACCCCCAAATTGTGGAAATTAGGAGAAAGTCAAGCATTTCCAAGTAGACTTCAAATGAACCTCTGCCCTATGGATCAGGGAATTATGTTTTTCATTAAATTTGTCATGTTAGACAGTTTTGGACGACGCTGAAACATCAAAAACGAGTTTAAAGGTTTCAAAAATCAACCACCTCAGTTGAGGATCAACCACTGTAGTGGGGTCACTTGGCTTCCCCATCTTGCACGTGGTGGTTGGATGGTTGACTGATGTGGCCAGTGCCCGGATGTAACACTCCCAGTATGCATCAGTGTCGTACTGCATAGTGGTGCATGTCGGGAAGCGCCTATCATTAAGCTTGGCTCCTATTTCTTTGAAAGCCTTCGTCTGATGAAGTTTCTGAACGACACGAACTCCTGGTAAACGGAAATGTCTGATATAATCTGCTGGATAGTTCCAGGTATTGTTTACGGAGACCTGTTCTCATTTAAACCTGACAATATGTATTTCCAAAACAAGCTAAACACTGTCATATGTGTCAGTTCAATCTCATAACAATGGTAAAGTTACAATGTTGACACGAGGTGGGTATGCCGTATACCCCACCTTTAGCATCTGTCATCCTTGAGGGTAGAAGTTTTGGTTCGACACATTTACACGATTCCTACTAAATGATGTTGCCTGAGTTTAAGTGGACCCTGGGTCTAGTTGTTACCAACATTACGTACAAAAATAGCTGCTTTGCCCTTTCAGATTCTTAACAGCTGGCATTGTTTTCACCTCTGATTAAAGCCTTGACGTCTTCAGGATGAGACAGGTAATTTGGGTCGATGACAGGATACTCGAATGGGTTGGTGCTTCTAAGGCGGATTGTACCCATACTCTTTGGATGGAGTAAAGTTGGGAAGGCTGTGAATCCTTCTTGGGCTGATGTCCAGTTGAAATGATCGACTATCTGAACAAAACGCATATGGTTGATATTTACGGAACTTTTCAAGTCATGCTTGTGGCAGTGTGTGTAGTCAGTAAGTCCATCATATCTTCACTGAAACTGTTAGGCCTATGCATTGATGACCCCCAGCAATGGTGCTTTATGGTACCCACATAATTATGAATAGGATCTAAAACTGACTAGCAATATTTAAAATGTCATATCTGCCCATTACAATGTTCCACCTATATTCTTCATGCAACGGTTACATGTCTTGATATCGGGATGCACATTCAATTTCGTCGGCCCTCATTCCAAAGCAAACTCATGGATTGTTAGGACTTATTATGATTCATATGGAAGAAATTGCATGCTTACCTTTTGGTCAATGTTATACAACCTGGCTATATCGCTATTCATGGAAGCACACCAAAAATGAAACTGAACGTCTGGACTTGGCTCCTCTGATATGGTCTTGAGAAATGCCATGGCTTCTACACCTCCGCTAGATGTGAGGAAACCTACAGTAAAAGGCAAGTCATAAACTCTCGGCACCTTAGCAAGTACCTCGCATGGAATGTGTGCACGATGCGTCGATTTTGGCACCAAAAGTCAATGCTGTTTACTCGAGAGGAAGCAATCTTGTCGTTTATCAGGACGTCATAACTTTTACAGACGGCAGCTTGAAACACTTCCAGATGACCAATATTCTTTTCTCAGTCTTCCAACGGTAAGGTCACCAGTCAAAATATGGTTGCTTTGCGCACCGCACATATACATATCGGTTAAATGATCTACAGCAGGGGCATTCTAATTCATATTTGTTTGGTTTTCAATATATTTTTTTCGGATGTACAGATGATTGCTGTGGAAGTTACTCATTTGAAGATGGTATTAAAGTTCCCAAAGCTGATAGAAAAAAGGGGCACTTTGACAAACATCTGCAACTAAATTATTTGTATCTTATGATGATGCCAGCTTTGTTATAAGCATACGTTGAGGAAATACAACATACCTGATCTCAGTACACGATATTCCATTAAAGTCAGTGTTGAGTCTCTTTTCTTTTTCCGTGAGAGAAATAGGCTTCTGAATTGTCGACACCAAAGGGACGAACAGGTGATCCTGTAAGCTTTCACCAACTGGGAGGTTTGCTTCAACTGGTATCTGTACATTGGCAATATTCAATGAAAGCGATAGCCCCTTGTCACTGTAATATGGGAGTCCACAGTACAATTCGGACCATACCATAAGCCCATGGTTATATGTATCACTATAAAAAAGTAGTGATGTTGTTCGCAAAAGGTAACAGGAATTTACCTAATTTCATCACTGATTGGAAAGGTCTATCGCCCAAGGCGTGTATTATCAAAGCACTTGGTATAAGTAACATTATCAAACTCCTCATGCGAGCCGAATATGTTAACTGAGGAAGAGATTTGCCAAATCCATGCTTTAACACTGTGAACATTTGTCGCAATTCTGAAACCTGAAAATATATATATTCCACTTTTGGATTCCAAAGCGCCGTAAAACTCGAACCAAGAGAGCTGTATACCTGGGTCCAGGGTAGGTTCATCACCAAATGCCTGTCTCAAATAGAAACGATAATCTGTACTACAACGAAGGAAGGGTCTTTCTTTCTATTTGCAAACGTTTAATAAATACATAACACCATGCCAACTCTCAAAACCTTGACGAGTTAGTTTAAACCTCAACAATAGCAGAAAAGAAGCAGGTTATATCAAAACAAGGTATGAGCACTATGCAAGGTGACAAACTTTAATACATTTACATTTCTCTATCCTTAGAACATCCGTCACTAAACTTGGCGACCACAGCTGCAGTTACATTTCCACTTTCAGTGAGTTAGTTATACGCCACACTCAGCAATATGCCAGCTATATTCAATCTACTTTCAGACACTCAAGACAATCTGACAAGGATTAAACACCTATAGTATTAAGTTTACTGAGGAAAAATGAAGTGCTTCCATTTTCCATGTGATATTTTGGGATCTGAATTTTTTGGCGAGACATAGACACCATAGGCACAACCTGTCCTCCTGTCCCTCGTGTTCTGTTTTTCCTCAATGCTAATGGATAGGAATTTCTGCTCCCCTTCGCCAAATCATGGCCTTGAAGTTCAACGTAGGAATGAGTTATATCGATGATCTGATATAATTAAAAGAACGGTCAAATAGGTCATTTGTTTCCGCAGTTGTACTCGCCTGAACAAGCAATCTTCTCAAAAGCCAATTTAATTGTGACACACAAACATCAAACAGAATCAGTGTTAAAACGTTTCTGGCGTGAATGAAATGTTCTCACACGGAAAGAATAAAGTAAATTAATGATTAGCAGTCCATAATAACAACGTCCCTGGATAGGCAAATGAGCCACGACCCACGTTATGGAACATAAGTGAGTTCACACGGTCAACAGCGAGCGCGTCTACCTTGTGCATTGATGCAGCCCTGCCACCTTCGTCTCACTGAGGCCTTTAAACGTCGATGAAAGTAATTCCATAGCTCTGTTTCACCCCAGACGTGTTTAACGGGTGACTAATCAGGGATCGAGCACCCCATGTTTTGACCACAAGCATGCACAAAATACATTCGAAGTGTTAAACTGGATTCTTCTGACGTAGAAGGTCATTTGTCAGCTAAAGAATGGGAGTTTAGGGGTCCAATGGAATATGTTCTAATGCTTCATGTGGTTCTGCTTACTTTGTAACTCTCAATGTTCTTGGGAAGTGGATGGACTAATCAGTGGATGGACTGGATCAGTGATCATTTTGTTGAACTATGATGGGTGGAAGAAACTTTACTCTGACCGGAAATAAAATGTTAATAAATTGATGATAGTTTTGTGTTTGTTTATGTGAACCAAAAGCCATCTTTGGTATTACTCAAGTGTTGATTAAACTCTGCAATTGTGAAACTGTAAACACATTCTTGATATCTCAAATGACTTGATTGGTTCAGATCTATTGGCAAGATTGAAAGTTATCACTGACTTTAATGAACAGAAACCAAGACAAGAGGGTCAGGTGAAACATACGAAACAAGAAAAACAGTTTATCATACAATAGATAGCGTTCTCGGCAGGATAAAGCCAACGGATATTTTCGGTATCCGTTGGGGTGATATACGGATATCGATGCAAATTAGAGAGGTCATATGCAAATTTTAGGGACTACTTTCACAGTGTTAACAAACATGGCGTCACGTGTCGGCGATCGCGTCCGGTTACGGTACTGTCAGTGCTTTGATCCAAGAAAAATCATGTCTGGTTATGATAAATTAAGTGGACTACGAAGCGAAGACAGAAATTCATAGGCTTACGAAGATACCAACACCAGTTCCCGACCGACTGTCAGTGTTAGCGAGCTGACGGCACGGGACTCCAGGTGCAGAATGTCACGCGAACATTTAAGTGTATTTGTTGTTAATTGAAGGTTTCTGAAGATCCACGCGAGTTTGTTGTTATTTTCCAAAACATATGCAGACAACAATACGTGCTTTTACATAAAATCTTACTGAGAACTAGATGACCTAACCCAGTCAATTGAGTGATCAGAAGAACATTGTGTCACCGTGCTTGTGACGTAACATATTACTACGCGCATATTTGTGACGTCATAGATATCTATGCACATCCCAGGAAGTTTTGTTTCCTGATTTGTGGCAATTAAATTATATATAGTAAGAATGGCATTGTATGATAAATAGGTTATCACACTCGTGTGTTTTGTCAAGTCAAGTTAGTAATTTGAATAAACTGCATGAGTTCGCTCATATTTCTTACCTTCATCTCCTCCAAATGTTTCTTTGGCCCTATCCCAGACAGCATCAGCAACTGTGGCGACCCAACTGCACCAGCTGACAGGATTACCTCCCTTGATGCTCTCACTCTGTGGAGGCGGCCATCTTTGATATACTCGACTCCAATTGCCTTCTTATTTTCAATCATTACCTGTAACAACATGGGTATTATTTGACTGGTAATGTTTGTAAGTGCGGTTTATTCTTTGACTATTTCCTAATGTCATCCGATTGTTTTAGATCACAATGTCATTATTTATTAGTTTGTGAAACGAAACCTTAGTAATTCATGCAATTCATTTGATACATCGACCGTAATAAACTACTTTTGTGACATGGCTGTGGGCCACTTTAAACTAAAGTATGTGCGTGTGCGTGCGTGCGTGCGTGCGTGCGCGTGTGCGTGTGTGTGTGTGCGCGCGTGCGTGCGTGCTTGCGTGCGTGTGTGTGTGTGTCCTTAAGAAGGTGGAAGGGCCGTTTACGCTACCTTCGTGACGTGACTGTTGGCCAGGACATGCAGGTTGGGTCTGTCTATGACTGGCCACAGGAACCTCTTTGAAGTACTCATTCGTTCACCATTCCCGATTGAAACCTGCGATCTGCTAAACCCTGAAAACGTCAGGGCTGTCAGGCAATGTGCAAGATAGTTTTGCAGATGTAATTCATATGTTGTCAGGAATGGTTGAGTCCGATGATTGCTGCGGAACTATTTACAATTCACATTGACAGAGAAAATTAACAAATACGGTTACAAAATTTAACTCCTTTAATTGCACAGATATATATGTATATCCAGACACACAAAACTAACTGACTGGCTAACTACAAACAGAGTGTCACAAGAGAGAAATTGGTATGCAGACAAACAGGTCAGCAGTCGCAGAGCCACACCTACAGGTGAACAGGGACCTCCATGGACACTCCAGAAAGGGAAAGTGTACACAAGCAGAAAAAGAGCTCATGAAAGCCCACGTGTCGTGTGACAATTACTACGAAGTGGAAGCTTTGTCCCGACAAGGACACCTAATCGTGCATCCACGTCCGTTTTCATGCTGACAGTGCAGTACATATTTTCCACATGGAAACAGTGTATCTCACTAACCTTGCATGCTATTTTCACTGCAGAGTAACACTATACACGTTTTACACGACATAATGTATTTTCCGGACAATCCAGTTATACCAGAGTGCTTTTACAAATTTAGTTGAAACTAAAATCTGCTGTGTACTGCTGCAACCTAACAGAACTGATACTAAGTGCTTCTCCAGAATGGAAAAGACACGCAAACTGATACAACTGACTGACTGACTGAGTTTAGTTCAATTTTTACGCCGCTTTTAGCAATATTCCAGCAAATATCACGGCGGGGACACCAGAAATGGGCATAACACATTGTGCCCATGTGGGGAATCGAACCGGGTCTTCCGGCGTGACGAGCCAACGCTTTAACCACTAGGCTACCCCACCGCCCCGCAAACTGATACAAAACTACACACACTCGTACATAGTAATTTGCATTCAGACACTTGCCTTCCTGATTTTCTCCATTGTAGTCTGTTTCCTTGTAACCGAGTTCAATTCCTGCCTTGACGAAGTAGTCAGCTACCGGTATTGAACGCGTTTCTGTCACAACAAGCGGGCCTCCGCGACTGTGATATTCTT